CTGGGCCCAGGTGGGAGAGTGTGGCCTTTTGTTATGGGCACCCTGGCTTTGCAGGGCCTTCTCTGCAGGGCGGGAAATGCTGGGCCCAGGCTATAGCCCAGGAGACCCACAGAGGGTGAGGGCACAGCTGGAGAGCACAGGTGGGTGCCTCCCTCCCACCCCTGGGGAAGCGCGGGCAGGAAGTCTGGGGCCACAGGATTGCCTCCATTTCTGGACCACATTCCCGGCTGCTGTGAATCCACGTTCTGCCTCCGAGGTCTCGGCCCTTCTCCCTCAAATTCCAGTTGGGTTTCTGTGGTGGGAGTGGTGACAAGCCATGTGGCTCTCTCCCACGGTCTGCTCGCCTCTCTCCACTCTCACTGTGAGGAGACCAGGGCAGCTGCGTTCCAGCGTGGGGTAACATTGGCAGACAAGGCCATAAGAGGCCACCCAGGATTCTCACCCTGGGGACAACCTAAAACAAATGAGTCTGGCTGCCCTTGTTTATGGCCGGCCAGGCTGAGCCCTGAGCAGAGCGGAGACTCACGGGGTGACTTGCAAGCTGCCGGCAGAGCTCTGGGGGAGGCCCCACGAGCCCTTGACTCCCCAGTCCACTGCTCTTCCTGCAGAGGGGGGCCTGACGCGGTGGGAATGGAGATTTCAATCTGTGAGACCGCACTTCCCAGTTCTAATCTGACCTCAGATCGTTGTGTGACCTGGCGCAGGTCCCTTAACATCTCTGAGCTTCGCTTCCCACAGAGTGCAGTGGGTTGATGAAGAATCAGATGAGGTGAAGATATCAGGGTGCTGCGTGATCTGCCTAGGGCCACTCAGAGGAAAGGGGTGATGGAGTCACCCCTGGGGCCAGAAGTTCTATCCAAGTGTCCCTGCCATTACTTTGGAGTCCCCAAGGCCAGACTCTGGAACTAAAATTCCTGGTCCAGCCCCATTTATTTCTGGGGCTAAAGCCCAGTCATGCGGGTGACCCACTTAGATGCTTGTCACCTCCCAGCTGATCTTGCTCTTTGTCTTTGCAGGGGGAGCCAGGGGATCCCGGATGGCCAGGGCCCATGGGCGAGCAGGTAGGTCAATGCTGAGCCCTCAGTCTGTCAGCACCCCACATTCACCCCCTCAGCTCATCCCTACCCCAGCTCCGGAGGTGGGTCTGCTGCCTCCCCATTTCCCTGACCTCTTGTCAAAGAACTCTCTGACGCTCAAGGAGGTGAAGTCCCTGAATGAGAAAGCCATCCATCACAGTCATAATGGGCGTTCCCCACGGTCTGACCGTGGGTATTTCGGGGACATAAAAACTGGCACGTGCCTAGCTTCTGAGCTCCAGGTACAGATGGGGGTGCCAGTGGATGATTGGAGAAGCACTTGCCCAGGGGCTCTTGGTCAGCCACCCCCAAATTACAGAGAAAATGAAGGTCAAACCAGTGGTTCAGCTAGTGGGAAAGCCTGGCCGAGGTGTGAAGAGGAGAAGAGTTTGCAGCTAAGTCCTCAAAAAGGAAGCCTGAGATCATGACCTTCAGAAATGAGGTCCAGGCCCGGAGCTGGACAGGAAAAGCTCTGAGTGAGTTAGACCTTCCTGCCCTGCCCAGCGCCGCCTGCAAGCTTAGCTTGTGGGCTGGGAGGTCATGTGGGAAGGTAGAAATCTCCTCCATTCTTTTGAAGAAGGCACCAACCCTCTGAACCCTAGAAGGAGGGGTGATGTTGGGGCCCAAGGGTGAGTGTCAGTGGAGAAGCACCGTTGATGGCGTGAGAGCCGTGCATGATGGGCTTCTTCACCAGGCCTGCAACATCTGTTAGGGAGAGAAAGGAATTAAAGCAGGGGGAGGGCTGGATTTTTGAACCCTTTCCAGTGTCATTCGAGCACATTCTGTGGGAAGCCCAGGAGTTTGGAAGGTCTGCCACAGCCTGGATATATTTCCTGGATGAAAAAAAAAGGCAATGCGATCAGCAAATTTAATTTCATAGTTATGCTGATGGTAGGGCCCTCGGGAAATAGATACTCAGAAACCTAGAATGTCAAGGCGCAAAGGATCCTTGGAAGTCACTTAATCTAGGAGTCCTAATATTTAAGTGCCTTGGACCCCTTAGGCAGACTGGTGAAGGCCACGGTCCCCTTCTCAGAACAGAGTTTTCAGATGCATAAAATGCAATCAAAGGATTAGCCAGGATATCAATTATATTGAAATATAATTGTAAAAATGTTAAACTGCCATTTAACCATAGATGTGCTTCTTTATTAATGCATTAAATAATAGGCGGTAGCCGCAGACCTAGTACGACCTCAAGGCTGAGGTGGTGACAAGCCTAAATGATGCATCTGAGGTCCTTGCAGCAGTGACTTGTGAAAAGGCGGGACATGTCACCTCTGGGACAGCCACGTCTACCCACCAAGTCCTGTGGGTGTCAGCTACACTCTTGCTGAGGGCACGATGCTCAGTTTCAATGAGAGAGCAGTGAAAACAGAAGTTGTCATTTTCCCATTCCAATTCATGGGTCCCCTGAATTCCATCCTTAGGGGCTTGTAAAGGTCCCAGGTTAACTCCTGAAGCCAAGCCACTTGGGGTTCATGGAGGAGAATGCGCTTGACTAAGATGAGCAAGAAGGTGATGGCAAAGTTGGGGCCCAGAGGAGCGGGAACCCCACTTGAGGCAGCTTGGGTCACAGTAAGAGAGACCCCTCTGAGTCCAGTGCTGGAGCCCTGTGGCTGCCACCAACGTGGGGAGCCCTACTGGCCAATTCCTTTGCCTATTCCCCATGTGGGAAATGGAAAAATCAGAGGGTGCCCCAGAAAGATGATAAGGACCCCCTTACAGCAAAGCACTTACCACATCGATCAGGCACCTGTTAGGTACTAGTTTCTATGCCAAACACTTCATACACCCTCCCTTGTAATTTTTCCCCCAAAACCCTGTGACAGTAGGGATTATTACCCCATTCTGCAGCTGAGAAAAATGAGTCTCTGAAAGTTCAGTGACTTGCCCAAGATCTTCAGGCAGAGACCTGACATAACTGTGAGAGCCAAGGTTGACACTCCTGATGCTTGCCCTGGAGGATTGGACAACGCTTTGACCTCTTGAGTCCTGTCAACAGTTAGTTAGAATGCAGATGGCTTGCCAGGCCCTGTCCTAGGTGCTGGGGAGACAAATACTTGCAAGGCACAGGCCTGGCCTTTAGAAAGTTCTGTGCAGGGGAAGCCCAGCATGGAAACGCCTGACTGGAGATGTTTGACCCGTGGAGGATCGGGACTGTCTTGCCTGCCCAGCATCACCAGCACCTGCACAATGTCATATGAGAGACAGGAGAGGAGGGAGGGAGGAAAGGAGCACAGCTCCCAGAGCAGACAATGGCCCTTTCTCTGTAGAGAGCACGAAGACCAGGCCAGCCTCTCCCCCAAACTGTGCATTCAGATCCTGCCTGTGCTGTGCCCACTCTAGGCGACAGTGCCACCTCTCGGCTCTTGTGCCAGCCCCAGGAGTCTGCCATGCTCATGGCTGTCAGCTGCCTACTCACCAGAACCACCAGGTGGATGCCCGGGCCTCCAGCTGGCCTGGACCAGCGTGAGCCCCACCCGCAGGACCCCCGAGGCCTGCCTGGATGTTTCTGGACAGCACTGCAGGGGTTCCTGGGGAAGGGGGGCAAAGGGGTACTTGCTGTATGGGCCTTATTCATTAGGATCCTGTTTGACTTCTTGTGTGAAGTTTATGACCCGCCTGCCTTCCAGGACCCAACAACTCATAAATTTAAAGTAGCTATGAGCTTTCTGTTTCTTTGGGCCAGTCAGGCAGGGGCCTCTTAACAGAGCAGTTTTTCTTGCCTTCCGTCGGCATCCTCTAAATGTCTGACTGCTCCCTTGTGGGGAGCTCAGGCCTCTGTCTTAACCTGCTGGCCTTTTAAAATAAATTCTAATGGGATGGGGGAACCAACATTTATGGAGTACATACCCGTGCCATGCCTGCTCTCCATACTCACAGCCCAGGGAGGGCAGAAGGGAGCTTTATCTGGAAATGAGTCTGCGCCCTGTCCTGGGCCCACCCACCTGTAGATTGCATGATGATGACATAGACAAGGTGCAAGGTGGAGGTCTTGGCACTTAGCAATTCCTGGTATCACTTGAAAATGCTCCCCTTACTTTTTAGAGAAGTTGTTGCCAATGGTAAATCCTTGGCTAATTTCTTGCTAGGTTGGCCCTCACCCCTCTCACCTGATAGTCCAACTCCAAAGGGTCTCTGAACCCAGGCAACTGGGACCCCCAAGTGTGGCCATGGCACCTGAGTACCAGGGAGACCTGCATCCTATTCACGCATTACATAGGCCCTGGAAATGTGCATGGACTTTGCATCACACAGACACAGCAGCGGGGCGTGGTCCCAGCTAAGCTGCTTCTTTACAGTCATCTGAGACCCTCAGAGCTAACCCCTGGGAACTGGCACCCGCCCCCCCCCCATCCTACCTGACTGGCAGGTTGTCCAGTTTCCTTGCCTGAGTGTATAGCTTCTCATCCATTTCTGGTCAGGTTCAGGGCCCTGTTCCTTTCTAGGCCAGAGTTTTGGGGACAGGGAACAGATTTTATGGGACAAGCTGACTGTTCTCTTTGTCTTTCCTAACTCTCCCAGAGTTCTGATCAGCCAGCTTGACATCTTCCAGAGTCACCTTCGCACCCCCAAATCATGCCAGGCCTCTTTGCTGGGAATCGCCTTAGCAGAGTGTGGGGTCTGGACAGGAACAGTTATCTCTAGGCTGTGCCTTCTCCCTTGAACTGTGCCTAGTTGCCTGCCCAGGGCAACAGCAAGGCCTGCAGCCACCTAGGAGAGCCCCTGGCATACAGAGGCAAGTTAGCACCCAGCAGAACTAAAAGATCAGCAGGAGCCACAGCCTTTCAGAAAGACACAGTCAAAAGACCTCCACTTCCCAGACTCCAAGCAGGTCTTTGGGGGGAGGCTGTTCTGGTATTTCTACCCCGGTGAGCAGGTTTATTCCTGTTTGAAACAGCCCCAGAACCCCAAAAGATGGGAACGGATTTCTCATAAGCAGGCCTCTCCCCAGCACAGCCAAGCCCCCTCCCACTCCCCAGCTCTCCCGCCGTGGCAGCCTCCCAGCTCCTGGCGTGGGAAGAATGTGGCGCTCCCAGGGATGCTGGCACAGCCCGTGGCCGGGCTCCAAAATCAGAACCATCTGGTGGAGTGAGGGAAGTCGGGACAGTGCCCGGAGAGAGGCGGTCGCCTGGTGGCAGCCCCCTGCGGCGGTTAACGGAGACCCGTAGGAGGCGCCAGGGGGCGAGGGCACGCGGTGGCCTTGGACAGTCAGTTTGTGAATTCATGTTGCTCCTGCTTTTCTTTTGTTTTCATAAATATTTTTATAGGGACTCTTGGGATTCATTGGTCTAGTCGGGGAGCCAGGAATCATGGGAGAAAAGGTATGTTGTATTGGGGGAAATGTTAACAAATAGAGCTTGTGTTTTGACATGTTAGAAAGATGGCAGGGACCAGGCCCTCCCTGCTGGCGCTATGGGTTAAAGAGCAGCCCTGCAAAGCTGGCCACAGCCACTTCAGCACAAGTTCGATCCCCGGCCAGGGAACTGACCCACGTGGCGTGGCAGACCTCTCGGTCTCGGTCTCACCTGCTGCTCCCCTCAGCAGTGTACTTCATCAGTCTGCCTGTTCTGCTCCCCACTCTGTCTCTGGTGAATCCTCTCACTGCCCCTGCACCTCTCGCCTGTACCCCAGTTCTGTATACATCAATAAATAAGTCTTAAAAAAACAAAAAAGATGCAGGGACCAGTTGAACTTGGGGTTTCAGACCTCTCTCCCCCGGCCTCCTCACTTCCCTCGTGTTCCAGACCGTCCAGGACAGCCATTGTCCCTTTCCCAACACCGTCCTGACATCACCCCTTAACATGACGACCAGCCGATGCGGGCAGTCTGGGCCCCTCACGGCTCACAGTGGCTCTGCACAGGAGGCAACAGAAGGGAGGCAGAGATTCATCCTTACACAGGAGCCCGTTTCCTTAGGTTGTCTTGTTAATCCACCACAACTCTGATTTATAGACAAGACAGAGGCTCAAATTGCAGAACTGCTCCGGGCCACCCAGGCAGGCAGTGGCAGATCTGGGACCTAAACCCAGTTTAGTGCCCATGGTCACACCTTGCCTGCCAAGCCCTGTGCCTGGCAGCCCGAGGCTGCCCCGTGCAGCCCCGAGGGTGGGGCTGCCTCTGTGGGGTGACTGAAATCCAGGCAGTCCTGCGGGGTCAGTGTTCTGGAGAGACTGAGGCCCAGAGCGTGGACACCCCGCCCCTAACCTGGCCCCCCCTGTCTTTCCGGGTCACCCCATCTCTTCCTCGTCATACACTGCCCACAACCTCTAGCCATCTTTTCTACCTCCTTGCTTTCTTCTTCCTCTTCCTCTCTTGTCAACTTAAGCTTTTATTTTTGACATAGTTATAGTATCACAAGAAATTGCCAAAAATAGCATAGAAAGGCCCTCCCTGCCCTCATCCCGTGTCCTCTGACCTGCGTAGCTGTGGTGCAGGTCGGCGAGGCCAGCCGCCATTCCCTCCTCCTCCGTTGTTCTTGGTTGCCCCTCCTGTCAAACAGGGCCCGCTCCTGAACCCCCCCCCCATGCCTAGATGACCCAGGGACTCTTCTTCATCTCCTGGGTGAAGCAAGACTCCCGTGGGAAGGCTTCCCTGCCCACCCCTCCATGCAGGTAGCTCAGCCCCTACCGAAACGCCTGAGCACCAAGACCCACTCCCTCACCGCCCTACCTCCCTTCCTGATCTGTGGCTGTGTCTGAGACACTCTGAGTGTCCCGCCTATGTGAGCAAGTTCTGTTTCCGCTCGCCATGGTGGCTTCAGGGGAGAGCGTGATGGGTCAGACCCAGTAGGTGCTCAATAAACATTGCTGGCTGGGTGGATCCGAGAAACAGCTTCACAAACACGGTGAGGATTTGAACCCAGAGCCCCGCCGCCTTGGGTCTGTCTGCTTTACCTGCTCTCTCTTCCTGGGCTTGCCGGATTGGGTGAGAGGGAGTAAGTGACATCTGATTGGACAGTGGATGAGAAGAGTGAAAGAAGTTCCTTCCCTTGCCATCAGTCTTTCTGCAAGCTCAGCCCTGGAGATGCCAGGCTTGATGAGGGCCAGCAGCAAAGGGGACCTTGCCACCATTAGCACATCCTTGCCTGAGGGAAGCTCAGACTCAGGCATGCAGCAAAGGGTCTTGACTTACGCTGAGTGAAATCCCAGACTCTCCCCTCCCACCCACCTCACCCCCCAGTCATCAATCTGGGTGATGTGGCTATGAGCAGAACATAGACCTCCGTCAACTTCCTGTGTCTCTTTGGCCTCTGGGAGACCCTCTGCACCTGCCCCTCCCCGAGAGCCACCCCTACCGCGACCTCCCTGATTGCTGTCTCCATCACAGGGTGACCGGGGCATGATGGGCCCCCCAGGCGCGCCTGGACCCAAGGGGTCAATGGTAAGAATTACTGCATACCCTCCCCCTTCCTGTCACAGCTGTGGGGCCTTCTGCTCCCCGCCTCCTGCCTCCTTGCCCCCACATACCCAGGCTGACCAGCTCCGTCTCCCTCAGGGAGACCTGGCTGTTGTGTGGTACTGGGCTGGGCTGAGCTGGTCAAGCAGGGCTGGAAGAGGAAAAGGTACCTTGCACTGCTGATCCCATCTTTTTCTTCTTTCCAATAGGGCCATCCTGGCATTCCAGGTGGTGTTGGTGACCCAGGAGATCCTGGACCGCCGGTAAGCAAAACCCTGTGTTCCCTGAGTTTTTATCAGTAAGGTGAGGAGTCCAGGGCTGAGTCAGACAGACCTGGGTTCGAGCCCTAACTCCAACACTCCTTAGCTGTGTTGCCAGGACAGGTCATTAAACTACTGGAATCTAGATTTTGCTCATCTGAAAAACAGAAAATAATCATAATAATCAGCGAGATCTCATGGGTCAATGAAACCGGGCAGCTCCTGTTTCGGACATAGCACTGTCACTGCCCAGGAGCATCTTGGCCATTAACACCTTGATCCTTTTGTTCATCCTCTTGGGAAATACTATATCCAGGAGCTGGGGCCACCCAGGAGCTGGGATGCAGCCATCAAGAAGGCAGAAAGCTGTCCCTGCCCTTTAGAAGCTTATATCCTGGTGTGGGGAGGTGGGGAGCATGACCCCAATAAATAGATGAGGTCTCTATAGAGAAAGCAAGCAAGGAGAATGGGGAATGCTGAGGTCATTGGATTGAGGGTCACAGCTGAAGATCCAGGGGTCCTGGACTTTTGGTGGCCGAGAAACCAGGGAGATCCCTCAGGCTTCCAAAGCGGGGAAGGGTAGAAGAGACGGGATGGCTGGGGAGGACTGTGACCCAGAGCACTCAGGCTCAGGGGCCCCTTCTACTCCCCCAGGAGGATATGAGGGGTGGAGAGAGGTTGCCCTCCTAGGCTCAGGGCTGGGCAGGTGGAGGCTGGGCTTCGGGTAGGAGGAAGAGTGTGGGAGGAGGAAGGCCCCACCCGGCAGCACCTAAGAAAAGCTAGGTGGCAGGGGAGGCGCGGAGGGACTGACCCAGGCCAAAGGCCCGGGCTCAAGTAACCACCAGCAAAGACAGAGGTACAGGCATCAAGGCATTTGTCACCCCCAGCACACACACACACACACACACACACACAGTCCTTTAATCCAGCGGAAACTCTTACAGTGCAGAGTCAGAATCAGAAGTCTGCACTCTGGTTTCTCCATGACTTTCCTTCCCATTCACCAGGAGGAGCCACATCTGGGGGCGCGGGGGCGGGCTGGAGCTACTGGCCAGCAGGCCGAGAGGCCCGGCTCAGAATCCAGGGCTCGGAATCCCCCCATCTGTCCAGTGGGAGCAGGGAAGCTCGGAAAGGTGTTGCTAGCATGGAATGGAGGCCAGTGGGGAATCCAGGCCAGCGTAGAAGAAAGGCACAGGCCTCCCTCCTCCCCCAGCTCCGTGGCTCTGTGGGCCTCATCCCCTCTGTTTCCTCAATGCTTCCATCTCTTTGGTGGGTTGGCTCAGGCTTAGTGAAGTCGGACCATCACTTGCCACTTCCAGATCCCATGGTTGCCAAGATTCCCTGGGGCTTCTAGCCAGGCCGCTGTCCCCAGGGTCACCAAGGAGCAGTTTGCACAGAGATCCAGAAAACTGACTTCAGAGTCAGATACCAGTGAGCACATCCTGGCTCCCCCATTCATTTCCTAGCTGCATGACTGTAGGCAATGCTCATGGCTTCTCCGAGCCTCAGTTTCCCCATCTTCAGGGCAGCATAATACTACCTTCATTATGAGACTGTTGTAAGAAATAAGTATCAGGTCTCCCTGGTGGAGCAGGGGCTAGTCTCAGCACTATCAAGCTGTGGCCAACCACTGCAGCATATGTTCGATCCCAGGCCAGGAGGTGACCCACATGGCGCCGCTGACCTCTCCTGTCTCGCCTGCTGCTCCCCTCAATAGTGTATTTCAGTGGATCTGTCTGTTCCGTCTCTGGTGAATCCTCTCACCCCCTGCACCTCTGATCTACACCCCAGTTCTTGTATGCATAAATAAATAAAGATAAGTATTTATCTATTTATTTATTTATGCATACAAGAACTTCTGGGGTGCAGGCCAGAAGTATGGGGGGTGAAAGGATTCACCAGAGACAGAGTTGGAGCAGAACAGGCAGATCTACTGAAATACACTGCTGAGGGGAGCACTGGGCAGGTCAAGAGATATATGCTGTGCCATGTGGGGCATCTCCCTGGCAGGAATAGCTTCACAGTGTGCCACCAGGGAGAGCCCTAAAGATAAATCTTAAAAAAAAAAAAAGAAGAAATAGGTGTCATAATGCGAGGTGTGATGCTTAGCCAACTATCTGTATACACTATATATACATCATATACCACTATGATGGGTAAGGTTATTGCTATTCAAACCACACTTGGTGATACCATTCATAGATGATTGCCATTTTCTACTTCCCTGTCCCATGTCCTCCTTCGGCCAGTTGAGGTCAGTCAAGGTGTCTCTCGCCATTATTTGGGTCTGGACCTCCAGTCTCCCACCTCCTCCCCCTCTGAGAGCTGATAACTGCACTTTACTGAGAACTGTCCAGAGTGTTATGTCCTTCTGAAAACTCGAGGAGGTGGGGACCCCTTCCACCCCACTTTATAGGTGATGAAACTGAGCCCCAGTGAGTCACTCGGCAAAGCTGATAGAATAATAAGTGGCGGGCTGGGGTTTGCACTGAGGTTTTCTGGGGGAGCTGCCTCTCTCTTCTGCTTTCGCCTCTCGGTGGAGAATTGGCTCCTAAAATTTCCCAGTGACGCATTGCGTGCCTTCTGCAGCCTGACAGCCCTCTATAAAATGCTCCGTTCTCACCCAGTCTTCGTGTTCCCATCACCCAGGAGTCAGATCTGTCCTTTTACTGGGCCAAGCTGCGGCCCACACCCTGCTTGTCCTGCTGTCAAGGGCCCGTGAGATCAGCCCCTCACGGCAGTTGCATCCGCAGCTGCCAGGGTCTCCTGAGGGCCTGGGTACAGGGGTAGAAACAGGAGCAGCAAGCACTTTTTCCCGAGCCCCCAAGTGGAGAAGGGCCACTCCCTGGTATTCTGCATGGGAATGAGGCCGCCTCTCCCTTTAAAAGGATCACACCCAGTCTGAGCCCGGCTGGGAGCTGGGAGGCCCCTGTAGCTATCTGAGGGTCCTGGCCAGTGGGGGTCAAGCCATGGCCTGAGATGTGTAGCTGAGCCTGGAATCGGAGGAGAGATATTTCAGCTCCCTTCTGCCCTTCCTATTCCCTGGCCTCTTTAACTCTTCATGTAGTCACTCTTCTGTCAACAAACTTCTACCTGCTCATCTCAGGCCTGTGCTGAGGATTCAAAGAACAAAGCCCCCCTGTGCTTTCCCTCCCTCCTGTCCCTCCCCTGCTTCTCTTGTCAGTCCTTCATCATGCTTGGTGCCTGGACATCTTTCCAGGGCCAGCCCTGTTCCCTTCTCTTTGGCCAACCTCCCACGCTACACGTGGCCTTTCTCTCCCTTCCCGCCCCTTCAGAGCCCTCTCCCTGTTGTGCAGATTCCCCCTTTCCCTCCCTCACCTCAGAGATGGGGTCTCCCCTGCCCCTCACCCCAGGGCTGCTTCCAACCTGGTCAGAGTCTTCTGGGCCCCTTCTATGTGATATTCAGGCCCAGTGTGAGAGGCAGGACCTGGGTGCCATATTCTCCTTGTTGGTTTTCAGATAAAGAAGGAAATGGCATGGCCATCTTCTCACTTCCAGATTCCTAGGGAAGATTGAAAGCGCTGGCTGGGCCTGTGCTTCCCCAGGCCAGGCCCTTCTCTGTGGCAGCAGCTGCCCGCTCCTCAGCACCCACTGAACCTGCAGGCCAACTTCACCAGGCTCCCGCCCTCCATGTTGGACTTGCGCCCTAAAAAGGGACATCTCCAACTCTTTCTCCTTCACACAGGGTCCTCCAGGATCTCGCGGCCCACCAGGCATGAGGGGAGCAAAAGGACGCTGGGTAAGTGGGAACAGACTTACCCCCTGGGAACAGAGGCTGAATGGAGACTCCGTGCTTATCCCTGAGATAAGGGACTGTTACCAGGCAGGGCGGGCTCCAGGTTCTTGGGCCTAACCAGATGTGGGGTCCTCACCTATCTTTTCTGGCCCATTTCTGGCACAGATGGGCTCTGTAGTACCAATGCTTTGTCCATTCATCCATTCATTCAGGCATTCAACCACCATTTGTTTAGCACCTACTATGTGCCAGCTGCTGTGGGAGCTCTGTAGACACCGTGGAGAACAGGGCAGGCATGCCCCCTACCCGCGTGCCTGACTCAATCGAGTAGGTCACGCAGACCGTAGAAGGTCAGCAGTACATTGACCGGGGAAGTGTGAGCATCTTGGGAGCCTGAAGAAGGCAGCTCATGTGGGCAGGGGTACCAGGGAGGTTTCCAGGAGAGCAATGCTTGAGTCGATGCCCAGCGTTAAGCAGGGAAACAGTTCTGGGAGAAAGTGGGGTCTCTCTTGGCTCAATGGAGGGGCAGGAGAGAGGGACAAAACCAAGAATTAGCAGGTGCCAAACCAAGCAGGACCTCCAACACCAGACCTCGGCTGTGGGCTGTGCTCCAAGGGTAATGGGGAGCCACAGAGGATTTTTTTTTTTAAAGATTTATTTATTTGTACATACAGAACTGGGGTACAGGCCAGAGGCTCAGGGGCGGTGAGAGGCTTCACCAGAGACAGAGAGGGGAGCAGAACAGGCAGAGCGACAAAGTACACTGCTGAGGGGAGCAGCGGGCAGGCCAGAAGAGGTCTGCCTCGCCATGCGGTCACCTCTGGGGCAGGCGGGAATCGAACTCATGCAAAGGTGGCTTTAGCTTCTCAGTGCAGTGCTTTAACCCGCTGCGCCACCAGGGAGGGCCGCCACAGAGGTTTTAAAGGAAGGGCTGGCTCAAGTGTGGCAGCCAGAGGTACTTCAAGCACATACATGAATTTTTCAAAATCTTCAACTCTGCCCTGTAAGGTTGGTGCTATTATGTCTGTTTTCTAGAAAGGAAATTGAGGCACAGAAAGGTTATGTCACTTGCTTGGGTTGCACAGCTAGAAAGTGACAAAGCTGGGTTTTTGGGATTTTTTTAAAGATTTATTTATTTATTCATATAGAACTGGGGTACAGGCCAGAGATGCGGAGGGTGAGAGGATTCACCAGAGACGGAGTGGGGAGCAGAACAGGCAGATCGACGAAGTACACTGCTGAGGGGAGCAGCGGGCGGGCCAGGAGAGGTCTGCCGTGCCATGTGGTCACCTCCGGGGCAGGCGGGGATCGAACTCATGCGGAAGTGGCTTAAGCTTCTTAGTGCAGTGCTTTAACCCGCTGCGCCACCAGGGAAGGCCAAAGCTGGGTTTTGATACAGGAAATCAGGCCCTTTTTGCCTATTGAATGTAGTCTTATTTTCACTCATTCAGGGTGGGCAGATGGGGTGGTTTCCAGTCCCCAAGTGGTGGAAAGGAGGTAGCCCAGGCAGAGCAGCCAATCCCGGCGTGATACCCAGGCTCCGTACAGGCATCCATGACGATTGTTCTCTTGGCTGAGCTTCAAGTGACTTAACATTTCCCTGACCAGATGGCGTGAGCAGTGAGCCTGGTAGAGGGCAGATTAGAGGCTGGCTAATCTGCCAGCCGGGCAGGGCCTCTCCGGTGCCTGGTCCTGGGCTCCTGCATGTGGATGGAGGCTCCCTGCGGCTGCTCCCACCTTGTGCAGTCAACCCTGCCCCAGGTGGCAGGTTTGCTGGTGCCCCTGCCATCCCCCAGATGAAGACTTAGGCCGCCCTCTACTCACTTGGATCCCCGCCACCATCTCCACCACCCCTTTCCAGCAGGGGCTAAGGAATGTATCTCCTGCTTGAGGAAACCCAGGCTCCCACCACATCAAAGTCTCTGGGGCTGGAGCAGCTCCTGGGGAGCCCCACCTCCTGCGGAGTTTGGCAGGAGCACAAAACGTGCGGGGGTGGTTCCCTGGGCCCCCTGCCCAATAAGCCACCCTTAGCCGCTTCACAGTTGGGGTAACTGAGGGGAAGGGACTCAGAGAGGCCCCCCACCCACTCTGCCAGGGAAGGGGCTTAATTCTGACAAGGTCCTGAATCGCTTGCCCGCTCACCGCCACAAGCCTTGTAGTCCCTGGGCCTGTTCCCCCGTCTGTGCCATGGGCAATGGGCTCGCAAGGCTTCTGCCTGTTTCTCTGCCCAGAAGGCGGGTGGATCCGAGGCCTCGGGCCTCAGTCCTGAAGCTGCTGGCCAGCGTCTGGTTTCACGGGCTCCCTCCGAAAAAGTGTGGGTTCCAGAGTCAGACAGACACAGGGGCCTTCCCTTCTACCTTCCCACTTTCCAGCCGTGGTACCTCAGGCCAGTTTCTTAACCTCCTGGAGACCTTGAGGGAGTTTTGAAAGTCAGAATTTGAACCCGAGGCCGCCAGATGCCCTCTTTTCACCAGTGCCGGTTCATCAGCGTGGGGTGAGCGCCCGGTCATGGGGCGTGCAGGACAGAGCTGAGGGGGACCTGCTGCAGAAGACAACGTCTAAAATCGCTGGGAGGCTGGGGTCCAGCTGGGTGGGAAGAAGCCTCTGCCCAGGACAGAAAACCAGACCCAGCACAGCTCTTGTGGAAAGGGGGTGGATGAAGGGGTATGAACGCATATCCCACACGTGGCTGCAGGACAGAGGCCCTTTTACCTGGGAGACTCTGCCAGGTCCCTGGGCCACGCTCCTGGAGGGTGTGAGCTTTGGTGCCTGGTGCTGGACTCTGTTCCCAGGAGGGGGGCCCTAGAGCCCAGCTCTCCTGGCCTTGACTCCGGCTCCTCCTCTTGGACCTGGGACCACTCACTTCCCTCCCTGGAGTGGGGGAAAATGGGTCGGCACAGGGCATCTCCTGAGGTGGCGTGGGAATGCCACCTTCACCAACGCCCCATACAAGGGCCTCTGTCCTGCAGCCACGTGTGGGATATGCGTTCATACCCCTTCATTCACCCCCTTTCCACAAGAGCTGTGCTGGGTCTGGTTTTCTGTCCTGGGCAGAGGCTTCTTCCCACCCAGCTGGACCCCAGCCTCCCGGGGACATGTGGCTCTGATAGAGACCCAGGCGGAGAGTGAGGGCCTGGGCGCAGGGGCAGGGAAAGGCAGGCACAATGCCTCAGGGCAGGTGAGGGGTGTGGCTGCGGTCTCCTCAGCTGCACAGTGAGGGAGGAAGGGAGCTGGCTCATGGCCTCGTCCTTCCAGGCAGGGAAGTGGTCCTATTTTCCCCAGCTTCTCTTGAGTGCTCTGATATTCATTCCCAGGGACAGTGCTGTCACCCCGATAATAGAGGTTCTAGGCATTGTCTTCTCTGGCACACAGGCCCTCCAGGCCCTGCCCTGCCACCCCCCTCCCACACACACACCCCCATTCCCTGCAATGGGGAGCTCACTCGCTGCTAAACAGTAGCAGGCAGCGGGGAAAGGCTGGCATCCAGCCTTTGGTTCATACTTTTCACAGGTTCGAGGTGAGGTTTGAGTACTTTCTTGCTGTGTGACTATAGGCTGTTTCCTTATGTGTAAAATGAGGAGCAGGGCTTCCGCTGTTATTGCTACTGCTGCTGCTGCTATTAGTGGTGCGATCACAGCTCACTTACCCCCTCTCCCAGAAAAACTCTGCTTTCTGAGGTAAGCCGGGTGCCATGTGACTCGGCCCCAGCCCTCCACCCTCTCGGGCTCCCGTCCACGACCACAGCTGCCCCTTTCCAGGGTAGATTGTGCTTCCAGTGGACACAGCACTCAGGGGGCCCTCAGGCAGGGAGATGCCCACCCTTGGGCAGGGTCTCCATCCTGCCCCCACCCCTGCCACCCCCTGTCTGTCAACCAGGGGTGATCGTGCCCTGACACTGAAGCTCAGAGGGGGGACGGGCTCCCCTGGGGTCATTCAGCAAGCAGGTCTGGGACTAGTCCTCAGGCTCTCCACTCACACCTTGTCTTGAACCTGGGAAAAATCTCGGGGTCCCTAGGCACATGCCTGTTGTGGGAGGGACAAGCCCAGACACGTGTCCTCCTGTGTCCTGCCCTTGTCCCGCCCCTGGGACACGGCTCTGCTGGCCGTCCTCACACCCCATGCTGCGTTCCTTTGTCTCCTGTCTTGAAGGGTGACTTCTCATCCCCATTTCCAGATGAGATAGGGAGGTTCAGTGAGAAGCAGGGTCCTGTCTCCTTATTTCCGAATCACCACTATTTCTACTGCTGTGCACCCCAGTTCCCTGGGTCTGGGCCTGGAGATGTTGCGGGCGCACTCACACCTGAGCCCCGCCCCAGCCCGTGGCCCCCTGTCCTGGCCGACTTGGGAAATGAGGTGCTCTTTAAAACTGATGGGAGCTGAAGCAGCTAGGCATTTTCACTTTGAGGAGCTCAGTTATTCATTGAAAACCCTGTTGTTTGTTTGTTTAAAGATTTGTTTATTTATACATACAGAACTGGGGTACAGGCCAGCAGTGCAGGGGGTGAGAGGCTTCACCAGACACAGAGTGGGGAGCAGAACAGGCAGCTGGACTGAAATACACTGCTGAGGGGAGCAGCAGGCGAGACAGGAGAGGTCTGCTGCGCCATGTGGGCCACCTCCCTGGCCAGGGATTAAACTTGTGCTGCAGTGGCTGCAGGTGGCTTCATAGTGCTGTGCTTTAACCCCTTGTGCCACCAGGGAAGGCCCTGTTTGGTATTTTTTAAATTGAGTATAATGGGTGACGATACCAGTTTCAGGTGTATGGCCCAGCGCCGCCCGGCTGGTTAGCCTCCCTCCCTATGCATGGTCACGGCCCACCTCAGCTTCCAAGTGACTTCTCCCCACCCTGTCACCCCCACCCAGGCACTGCCCAGCCCCCATCATTTGTGGCCCTCAGTGCTCCCAGGCTGCCATGATTAGCCTGCCTCACAAGACCCTCTTAGTCTGCCCAACATGGCCTCTTCCAGTCCCCACACTGTTCTCCATGGGGACCTGGAGCCGCCACCCCCTCTGCGTGTCTGTGGGAGCCCTGTGGACGGGACATGTGGGGCAGTGGGTCGGGCCCTGGGGTGAGGGTGTTCTGTGCTGAGTGACCTTGGCCCAGTCACTTCCCTTGGCTGGTCTGTGTTCCAGTCGGTGTAGGGGCTGTGGGGGAGGGGGGAGCCCCAGAGGCCTCCCAACTCTGCACAGGTCAAGACTCTCGTCTCAGGGGTCGCCTAAGCCCAGCGCTCCAGGGAACAGCTGCGTAACCTCTACCCTGCAGCTGCTCCTCACATCAGCTCTTTCTCTGTAAACTGGGCCCGATTAGCTTGCACGTCTGGCTAAAGACGGGGTTGCCTGAACATCTGGCCACACGGAGACCCCACCCTCTGCAAGTCCTTCTCAGTCCGCTTCCACTGGGACCATTTCCGCCCCCGCCTGTGCTCTGGGGAGAATGCCTGGCTGCCGCTGGTCTCCCCGCTCCGCTCTGGCCCTCGGGCTCCGGTCTCCGCAGCGGGGAAGTGGGCTGGCTCGCTGACTCTCACACAAGGGCCTCTTTCAACAATGTTGCTGGTGCGCTGCTAGACCCATGCTGAAGGTCGGGGTCCTAGCCGATGCCACTCACGCCAGTCCTCCGCGGGTCATCTCAAAGGGTGCAAGGCACAGGGAGACCCACCTCGGGGGGAGGGGAGCACCCCAGGCTAGTGCAGGGAAAGGTCCTGGGCAACTCTGGTTCCCAGCCCAAGGGAGACCCCTGCTGTCCACTGCAAGTCCCTTTTCCTATTCCAGGGCCCCCGAGGACCAGACGGACCAGCTGGGGAGCAGGGGTCCAAGGGCCTGAAGGTACCGGACCCCACGACCTGCCCCTCCTCACTCCTTCATGCTGAGCCAGGAATCCAGGGACCAAGACTCACAGCCACCCAGCACCAGGCCCTTGGGGACAGCAGGCACCTCTGTGGGCTCCTGCAGCCCCTCCTGGCGAGCCTCCGAGCTGGGGGCGGGAAAGGGAGGAGCGTAGAGGTGGTGAGAGAAAGAAAGTGTGTGAGTGGGAGAAAGCAAGGACGAAAGCGAGGAGGAACCACATGGTCCTCTGGCCCCTCTCAGCTCCCCCCAAACCCTTTCTGGACCCTGAGAGCCAAGTACCATCAGGAGAAAGGAGTCCTGGCTCTGAACCCAGGCCACCACGACTGGCGAGCCTCCTCTTGGCTGGGCCTCAGTTTGCCCACCTGCTCAGTGGGGAGAGGGTGGATGCCTTGAGGTCTCAAGGGTTCCTTTGATCTCATCTCCTGTGGGACCATGGCCTTTGTTCCGTGAAGGAGCTCCCCAAGCATCGTCTCCCACTTCTGCTCACTTTGCTTCCCTCAGGGCCCCACAGGACCGCAGGGCAGACCGGGCCAGCCTGGGCAGCAGGTATGTCAGACCGAGGCTGCCAGTCCCGCCCCGCTCTCTGCTTTGTGATAAGTGGCCTCTGACAAACCCCAAATGTGCTTCCAGGGTGCGGCTGGTGAGCGAGGGCACGCAGGCCCACGAGGCTTTCCCGTAAGTAACACCAGTCCTGGAAAGGCTCTCCTTGGGCTCAGGGGAGGTACTGGCCCCATTAGCCACGACCCCATTCTGCTGTGGAGACCCAAAGGGTCTAGTTGCCCACTTCTTGCACTGAAGACCCCGTCTCTGGGGTCTCCCCATCTGCCGCCTGGTAGAGAGTGAGGTCGATACCTTTATACACAGGGAGAGCTTAGCTGAGGCAGGTGACAGCCAGGGCCGGCCACGGAGGGACCAAGGTCACCTTTGCCTGTCTCTACAGGGCATCCCTGGCCCGTCAGGGCCCCCAGGCACCAAGGGTCTCCCAGGAGAACCGGTAAGTGCCCCTTCCCTCTCTCTGTGCACTGTTGTACAGGGCAGGCTGATTTCAGAGAGCCACCCTGCGGTGGGGGTGTGGTAGGAGGGGGAGGATTTGGAGAACGACAGGGCCGACCTCCTCTTCCCAGGTGGAACCACTGGGGGCAGGGAGAGCGCTGGCCAGGAGCTCAGGGGCGCTGGGTTTGCCTGCCTCCCGGCCTCAGTTTGCTGACCAGTGAAATGGTCCCGGCCTTGCCAACTTGTTATGAAGCCAAAATGAAATGTTTCTGGAGTGCTTGGCATGGGAAAGGCAGAGGGCATGGAGCACTTGAGTCTCCAGGGAAAGCGGGAGCAGGAACAGAGTAAACTGACGAGGTGACAGGTGGATCCCAGGTGGATCCGGGTGGATCCCGGTGGATCAGGGTGGATCCCAGTGGATCCAGGTGGATCCTAGGTGGACAGGCATCCAATATGGAGTGAACCAGACTCAGGAGGTGGATGGTTTCGAGCACAACTGGGCCCTGCTGTGTTTCAGGCGGACGAAGAGGAGGGTGGGTGGGAGGACATACACTGGTGACAGAGGCGCTGCAGACACCGGGGCCCTCATCATGGGTGGGGCTCGGGGTGCTGAGTTCTGGGTCCTGGTGTCCTCTCCGACACCAGCCCCTCCAGACTGCATTATCTGAGCTGGTTTGTCTCAACTAGCTGTGTGTCTGTCTATTTTCTAGGGCCCTCAGGGACCACAGGGGCCCATTGGCCCTCCAGGGGAGATAGGACCTAAGGTGAGTGTGGCAGAAAGAACTGGGTTCTCTCAGGCCCCTGCCCAGTGCTCCTCAGGGGTCCTGCCCAGCTGTGTGGTGTCCTGCAGAGACCGGAGGCAGATTCCCTGGTAGAGAGGGCAGAGACGTTCTAACAACCTGGGTTGAGGAGCTGGGGTGCCAGCATCCTCATGGGGGGCTGGCAGCGCCTATTTTGGGGGCACCAATGAAAGCAGCCAAGCCCCATTCCTGCCACCACTTGCTGGAACTTCACCCCAGCACCCCGGTTTAAAGGGGCCTCAGATGCGCTGCCTTTTCCAGAGGAGAAACTGAGGCCCGGGGTTTGTGCGCAGGCTGTGCCGTGCCAAGGGTGATTACTCAGGACCCCTTCCCACCCTCATCGTGTGGCCAGCAGCAGAGAGAAGTGCTGGGATTACTCAGCCCCAACCACAACATTCGCTGGCGTCCTCCCCTGTCGTTATGTGAATCATGAAATTTTCCTCCCTGTGCTTGCCAAGGGGCTCTTACTCTGGTCAACCACACTCGCGGGGAGGCAGAAGGCCCAGTCGCCTCTGGGATGCCCCAAGGCCTAGCCAGCCTGCCTGCTGCTCCTCCAAGTCTCAGCTGGTAGCTCTGAGAAGTCTGCAGTTAGTCCCCAGCTCTGTCTTTCATGCTGTGGGACCCTCACAGATCCCTGGCCCTTGCGGGCCTGCCCTGGCGATCCCCTCCCTCACCATCTTGGGCTGCCTATGGCGTTTGGAGGGACCAATGACATTTTCTTGCAGGGACCTCCCGGTGCAGTGGGAGAACTGGGCCTTCCTGGAGAAGCTGGGATGAAGGTAAGACGGGATGAAAGAAGAGAAAAATGGCTTGTTGAAACCAGTTCCCAGCTGGCGGGTGCCTGCAGAGGAGAAACGGGCCTTTCTTATGTCTGGGATAATGGGTTCTGTGTGCTCCTGACGGGGAGCGGGGCCGGGCTGTGGCCACAGCAGTGTCAGGCCGACCATGTTTTCTCTGTCGGCTGCCCCTGCCCCCACACTGAGCAGCTGCACCCGTTGGCCTCTAGAGATACCATCTGCTTTTCAGCACCCATGCCCCTCACTCCCTATGGGGACACAGGCACCCATTGATATTTGGCTCTGGGGAGAGGCCTTTTCCCATTCTTCCATTGGCCCCGGGGCCCATAAGCCAAGCAGGTGGTCAGAGGTCATTGATGGGGCAGGGAGAGTCCATTAAGAGGCCTGGGACTTGAGGCAGGTCACCCTAGTCTGTGCCTGAGTCTCCTTTTAGACTCATTCAGAAGGGACTGGACCAGCCTCAGATTATCCATCTTGGCTTAGTTCCAGAATCCTTTGCTCAAACCACAAAGAAAGCCACCCGTGGTATGAAGCAGATAGAAGTAGGATTGTCCCACTGGGCAGGGCTGGGGGCTCAGAGCTGGGCCTCCTCCTTGAGTCCAGGCCTTTAGTGATGACAAAATTTCACTTGGAAATCCTATAGGAGAAAGACCCTTTTTGGTCCTGGGGTCCGGGGCAGATAACGTCGACTCTGGCTCCTTTATAAGGGTCTTGTCCTGGTTTGGGTTTCTCCTCAAGGCTCCCGGGGAAACTAGAGGTGGTAAACCACAGACCGCCCTGCAGCCTCGCTACTCCCCAAACCACCCAGTTTTGGCTCCTGAATCTGCCCCTCATTCGTCTCGTGAACTGGGACTAGATACTTAACCCCATGGTCCCTGCACTTGTGAAAGAACACGGCTTCTTCACAGTAAATGTATGACATGAGAAGTTTCTTAGAACCGGGCCTGGTGGGCGTGGGCTCACCATGGCCACTCTGTGGACATGGGACTCTGGAGGTCATTCTATAAGTTGTCCTTGGTTCTTGGGAAGAAGGACCTTCCCCAGCACCTCCTTCTCCTCACCCCAAAGCAGAGCCAGTGAAACAGGAGGAAGGTGTGGGTGAGGCTGGCAGGCTCTATCCACATCCACGGACTTGTGTTTGGCTTCTAGGGTGACCTTGGGCCGCTGGGCAACACTGGAGAGCAGGGCCTCACTGGGCAGCGGGTGAGTCAAAGCAAACTCATTGTCCCTGGAGAGCTCCCCCCAACTGGAGTTTTGGGGGCTTGGGGAAAAAGGGCTTTACTCAGCCTCGCTGAGCCTCAGCTTCCTCATTTAGAAATAGACCGTGAATCTCTGCAGCCCTGTCCAGTCTCTTTTGCTAGGCAACATGTCCACAGTTTAGAAGACGCTCTTCAAAGAAGAGCATTCAATGGTCAAAGTATTTTTGAGATTAACGGTAGCGTTTTCAATGCTCTGAGAAGGCCTGCAACCAAGAAATTGGCTCCTTTGGGATTAGTCCAGAGTCTCCAAATGTATTTGCCCTCCAAGCACTTTTATTGAAAAATTGGTTATCATCCTCCAAAACTGTTCTGCTTACTCCACCCTTGGGGTCTGCTCCCCTTTTGGGAGAGTCCGGTGGGTGCCTCTTCCCTCCTGCTCCCTAGTTAGTTCAGCCATTCTTTTCTGGGCCCCCAGTGTCTGCCGGACAGGACAGGACCCTAGTGCCTGAAGGTGGGCTTGGGACTTGTCCCTAGTGGGGGTCAGGGAGGAAATACAAGTATGTTCAGGCCCTCTGGCCAGTAACATCTCCTTGTCTCCCACCACCCTTCCAGGGAGAACCAGGCCTCGAGGGTGACAGTGGCCCTGCTGGGCCTGATGGACTGAAGGTAAGTGTCTGGTGCAGAGTCTGGGGTGAGGGTGGCTCTGGAGCTGCCTCAACTTGTGCCCCCACCACCCCCCAGCTAACGTCTGAAACTTATCTCCAGAAGCGCTGTGTCCCATGAAGTCTTGAGAATGGACCTGTGTTCTCCATTGAGAGCAGGGGTGAGGGTGAGGGCGTCCTGTTCAGCACGAGCCCCACACACACCCTGCCAAGAGCCCCCAACCCCGCTCAGGTGGAGCTGGGGACCACCTCAGCCCCCACTCCGCACTGCTGCCCTTCTTGAAAGTGCAGCTTCTTTTGGCTAAGGGTGACGCCTGAATGAGCCAGAGGCTTTGCTGCTTATTCTCTTGCAAGCATCCTAAGGCAACAGCAAATAGTCACCGTCCATGACCTGTCTTATATACAAAACTGAACCCTATATGTCTCCCCTGCAGCAATACCATGGGGTAAGTTCTGACTCTAGGTGAGGAAATTGAGACTCCGCAGTTAAGCAAGTAAGCTAATAATTGGCACCCAGATCTGAGACTCAAATCACTCTTACCACTTGCCCACTCTAAAGATGAAAAGACTGAGACTCGGGGCACCAAAAGGATCGTCCAGAGCTCGTGAGGCTGAGTGGGAGAAGTTCAAGCCCAAGGGTGCTGGCTCCAAGCCTGTAGGCCTCACTCAGCCTTAGGTTTTCCAGAGCTTCATCTGTTGGCTGTAGACACTGGAACCTTAAGGAGGTGCAGGGCACCCCCAAACCCCGGACAGGCGGGCCCTGCTTTCCCTCCTAACAGCCCGCCTCCAGCCCGCCAGCCTTTGGCCTCCATCTCTGGTCCATGAGGCAGCCTTTCCCCAGGGCTGACCTGTCATGCTTCGAGTAGTTTCTCCAGCCCAGCGTCCCTCAATCCATGCTCTAGGGCTCCCTGATACCCATGTTACTGTCCACGGGCTCGCAGAGAAGACCCCTCTCCCCCGGACCTCCGTTACCCCTCTCCAGACTGTCAGCCCAGTGTCCAACCTGAACACTTGTCCTGGGTCTGTGGGTTCCTCTAGTAGAAGCCTGGCGGGCTCCCCTCCTGCCCTGTCTGTCCTGCAAGGATGAGGATGCCCCGTCTGCCACCCCTCCCCTTCACCCTCAGTGCAAACCCCTGTGCAACTGCATCCTGGCTGGGCCAACCCACATCCTTTCTCCTCCACACCTTTGCCAAGCTCAGGCTATGCTGTGTGGTGATGCCGAAGAACGTTCTGACCGAAATGCTTTTGTGCTTCCTGTGTGCCCACCTGCCGTGGGAGCTTCGCGCAAATGAACCAGTTCATGCTCATCCTCTCAGCCACCCACTAAGCTAGACACAGCACCCCCCCCCCACCTTTGCAGATGAAGAAACTGAGGCAAAGGCAAGGTCTGGCTGCACCACCATCCAACCTTTGGTGGCTCCTGGGTTGCAGCGTCTTCCTCTCTCGCTCCCTCCAAAGCCAATTCCACAGCAGTCTGTGGCCACCGGAGTCGCACGGACATACGGCATCTGCCCTGGTCCTGGGGTGCATCTCAGAACCACCTTCATGGGGAAAAAAACCTCTTGGGGATGCACTTGACAGCTTGTGCCCTTGCTGCTTTGGAGCTTGCTGACCCGCCAGTCCATCGTGAGGGCAGTGGCGGTGACCACAACCCATCTTTATCAGAGCTCACGCGCCAGCTCTGCTTGGCTCTTTCCATGGACTATCTCATCTAGTCCTCACATAGACTCTGTGGTGTCTTACGAATGAGGAAGCTTGCCCAGGGTCACATAGCTCGAGGGGTGACAGCAAGACCCCAGGGGTGAGGGAAGTAGCATCCCCTGAGCAGAGAATCTTGGAAGCAGAAGAAGCCAGAATCCTGGGTTCTCTCCCACACTCTGCCACTGACTGATGGGTGATGCTGGGGATCTCTACCTCTCCCAGAGCCTCCATTTCCCCATCTAGAAATTCAGTGATTGAACAGGCAACTTGTCAGGCTCTTCTGTGCTAGGATTCTGAAATTCTAAAGCCTGGGTCTCAAGCAGGAGCAGTCTGCAGGGTGCACCCTGAGCCCCCCATTCCCAGGCCCTGGCTCCATGCCCCCCACCTCCTTTCTCCTGGACATGCATCGGGTTATCAGCGTCTCCTAAAACGTGGCACCTCAAAACACGACTGGGAAAACCACCCTGCTTTGTACACCTGCACCCCATCCGTGCCTTCCTCATACCCACAGCCTTATATCCTGCCCCCTGGTAGCTTCTGTGGCCACTGCCCACACTCTGCCCACGGGGCCGAGAGCACCAGGCGGTGGCCAGGACATGGCCAGTGCTTGCGTGTCAGCCGCCATGCTCAGCGCCCGGAGAAGGGCACCGCGCAGGGAGACCGGCGGGGGAAGTGCTCGCCGTGGAGTAAGACTCTACAGCAGTGTAGATGAACCCCAGGTCTGCTTGGACGCTGCCCTTCAGGCTCCGCTTATTGTGTCTGTCTGGACACTTGGAAGTGATCAGCTGTTGATTGGAAAGATGGTCAGAAGCTTTATTGCCTGCGACCAGTTGTTCCGCCGCCTGGCTCATCGCAAGCAGAATTCTTACTTGCTCTTATTCATATTGCCAGCTCTTCTCATGTACGCAAGAGTTGACAATGGAGAGTTCATTCTGAGTGGCAGAACTGGGTGGGTTTTTCCACTTACAAAAATTCCTTCAGTTTATTCAACTGGTCCTTCGGTGTGTCGACTAGGGTGACAGAGCCCCTGTCTCCCAAACCTGCCGCCTTCCTGCAGACCCCTGGGGTGGGCGAGGCCAGCATCCTCTTCCCTCTGTGGTGCTGCCTCCCAGCACAGGGAAACACTCGAACACTTGCCGGCGGGGTGCTCTTGGGCCCTGGGACACCACTAGGGAATCGGGGTCCCTGTCATCTCACAACGTCCAAATGAGCCCTGAGGTTCGGAGCCTCTGATGAGCCGAGTGACTAATTTCTTTTCTCCCCCTTCATGCCCTTCCAACGCAGGGGGACAGGGGTGACCACGGGCCTGATGGTGAACGTGGCGAGAAGGGCCAGGAGGGGCTGATGGGTGAAGATGGACCCCCGGGGCTCCCTGGCATCACTGGTGTCCGGGTGAGTATGCAGGGCTGTGTGCCCAAATACTCTGACCTGCTCAGGCAGCTGGGGATGGGTCTTTTATCCCACCTTAGGGTCCCCTGCTCGTTCCTTCCTCCACCTGGGAGTTACCCAGAGAATCTGTAGCCCTCCCCTGCCAAACCCTCCGTGGATCCCAAGTGCCTTCAGAGTAACATCTCTCTCCTTACCTGGTGGCTGTGCCTGTGCAAACCTGGTCTTCTGCCCTTATCTGGCCCAACTTCATATTCAACCACACTGAACTTCCTTCTGTTCCTTGGCAGCCTGTGCCCCTCACCCCCGACCCAGGACACTCTCCCCTCCTCACTCCCCCATCACCTGCTTCACTCCTCTTTGGCCACCTGTCATCATAGATATCACCTCCTCCAGGAAGCCCTCCCTGATCCCAGCTTCCAGGTCACCCTTAAACCTTAGTGTATAGTTTGGCCCTACAAGGCTAAGTAAGACCTTGTCTAGTTTATATTATTATTCACCCCCACCCAAGTGTCTGTTTGATCACAAAGGAAGTGATCAAACACTGCTGATGAAAAGATGGTCAGAAAAGTTCTCCCTTTCTCCTCAAGCAGAAAGCTGCTTAATTAATCCGCAAACACTCATGGGCATCCTCCGAGGCAGGTTTCCTCAGACTGAAGAGGTGAATCAGAAAGCATCCCTGGCATAAAGGGCATAGAACCTGGTGGGGAAAGGAAAGAAACTGTCTTGTTTTGGTGTGTACAGACAACATGCTCATGCTTTTTGGAATGTTCCTTCTTCAATATCAATAGCAATTCTCTGAGATTTCAAAAAATCAGAGAGGTAAAGTAGTTGCATAGCTAAGAATGACAGAACCAGGAATTGAACTTGGCCCTGTCTGACTCCACACAGACTAGCCCTCTGCTCTGGCATGGCTGGAAGTCAGGGCTGGCCGCGAAGCAGATACAGGCCTGATTGAGAGTGTTTACATTTTAGACTGGTGGCTTGGGACTTGACTTTGTGGTGAGGGGAGCTGTGAGAGGAATACCCAATTCAGCATGATGTAGACATGTGACCTGGACTGGTTCATTTGAACTTGGGACCGGGCAGGACAAGCCCACGGGGACCTGCCTTGTGTCAGCCAGGTGATGAGGACTCAGACCTCTGCTTCCAGCCTGGATTCCCATGATGCTCTTCATCCTCCAAGTGGAGAGACTAGCAGCATAGTTTCATTCAGGCCTGCCCTCGAGACCCTTCTTACCTCCTGGATATTACGATGACTAACCTAGATGAATCCAACTTAGCCAACAGGCTGTGACTGTGGGAAAATATTTGTTTCCTAAAAATAGAAATGAAGTGCTAATCCCCTTAACAGTTGCAACAGTGTAGACTCAGCAGACAACTAGAAAAGGAGTCACTTGGTCACCCTTGCTGGGCCAGCAGGCCTCCCCCAGCTTGGCTAGGCTGTGGGAATTAGGGACAAGGGGAATTTAGCAGGAAGGATGCTGGCCTGCTTCTCCAGCAGTAACTTGTGTGACCTTTCACTTGCCCGCCTTCTGGTTACACCCTTAGAATGATGAAAGCATTAGAAGGGGCGGGAGAACCCTCGTAGTGAGTTGTTGAATGTTATGACAGGCAGGGACAGCAGCGTGTGGCAGATAATAGCCCTGGGCCCAGCGTCTGAAGTTGAGTTCTGCCTGGAACACCCACGCTCTTTGTGACCTTGGGCACACCGCTGCCTTGGTTTTCTCATCTATAAAGACCAGTGAAACCTTGGGTAGGAGAACACTTTATAAAATATAAGGATGTTTTTTGAATTTGGAAGAGGAAAGGGACCCCGATGGTGGTGTTGGTGGTGGTGATGCTGGTGGTGACGACGGTGACAGTGATGACGATGGTGACAGTGATGCTGGTGAATGGGGTGGTGATGACGATGGTGACGGTGATGTTGGGGATGGTAATGATGCTGGTGGTGACGGTGATGCTGGCAGTGATGACGATGGTGACGGTGATGCTGGGGATGGTGATGATGCTGGTGGTGACGGTGATGCTGGTGGTGATGACGATGGTGACAGTGATGCTGGGGATGAGGGTGGTGACAACGATGGTGATGATGGGTTGGTAGAGGTAGTGGTGGTGATGACGGTGGGAGAAGGGATCATGGTGGTGAAGTTGGTGGTGATGTTTGTCCGTGGTGGAGCTGGTGGTAGGAGTGAGGGTGACGCTGGTCATTGGTGGGGGTAGCAGTGGTGGCAGTGGTGGTGACATGTCTGTGGTGATGATAAGGTGGTGGTAGTGGTAGATCAGTGTTGATGTCCTCTTTTACTGTCACTCTCAATCTGCCTTTACCAGAGCCGGAAAACGCTCCCTTGGGACAAGATTGCCTGTGTGTTGGGTAACAGGCAGTGAGTCTCTTTAGTGTCAGGACAAATATCTCTCCTCTATGGCCTAGAAATAGCCAAGTATTTAAAAATAGAATTTTATGAGCCATCAGGGCCTTTCCAGAAACACATCTATATAGATAGACGGGGGCCCTCACTGAATTCTTCATCTGGCCCCACAACCTCACCCCACGGGTTCCTCCAGCCGTTGCTCAGGGTTTCCCACACCGGGGTGGGGGGGGTGCGCCCAGCTGGAGCAGGGGGCCCATCACACATGTGGTCTGGCTGTCACCCCTCCTGGGAGAGACTCCCTGCCCATGCTGAGGCTGCAGCCCTGACTCATGTCTCCCGATAAGGGGTCAGCCTCTGTGGTTACCCAGTCAGCCAGCAGCCCAGCCCCCGATCGTGAGCTCACATCTGCCTGACCAGGGAGCCCCAGAAACTAAAGATCCACATTTCATTCTAACCTGGCAGAGTAGCAACTTCATCTCCCTGAGCCTTAACTTCTGTGGCTCTAAAATGGGCTAAATGACCCCCTCCTTCAGCCATGTGTCCGGATTTGAATGGGATGCCATGCAGAACATAGGCCCACGCCTGGCGACTGCTGAGGCAGTGATGACTGCTAGCACTTTTATACAGAGGAGTAAAAGAGCTTGAGGTTGTCTAGTCCAGAAACGGAACCCATGCTACAAGCAGAGTTTTAAATGTTCTAGTGGCCACACTTTAAAGAAGTAGAAAGAACAGCAGGAGAAATCGACTAGGTAGCTTATTTTTATTTAGCGCAGTAGAGACAAAATATTAACATTTCAATATGTAATGTTGTATCGTATTAATATTTCAGCATAACAATCAATAAGCTATATTGTATTTTTTGGTCCTCTTTGAAGTCTGGTGTGAAGTTTATCCTTCCAGAATATGTCAATTCAGATCCTAAATATTCATTGGAAATATTCGCTCTGAACTTGAAACTATAGATTCCTATTTCCAGGCTCTTCCAAACATTTTCAAGTTGTCCAATGACCGGATGGTCAACTCTTCAATTACTTTTTAAGTTAACTCAAGCTAAATCCAATTAGGAATTCAGTCCAGGCCCTCGGTCACAGCAGGCACATGTCAAGTGTTCACACCCACCCCACCCCATCCCCCCCATGGCCAGGGGCTACCTTAGGATTAGGAGTAGTGCAAGGCTAGGTTAGTTCTTTGTGTCACAGGTGGGGAAACTGAAGCACAAACAAGGGAAGGGACTTGTCCAGGATCTCATGAGGACCCATGCACAAGGACGTAGGGTCCCTTCTCCCCGAGGGCTTCAGGGTGGTCTGGGGGCGTTTCCCTCTGAGTCATCTTTCCCAGTGCCTTCGGACCTTACTGTGTTCTTTGAGCAGACATTTCTCCCTCGTGCTATATCAAAGGCAGCCTCCCTGTAGTTTCTGTCCACTGGCCACCGAGAGAACATGGCTGCCCCTCCCCCAGCTCAACTGCAGACAGGCTCGAGTTCCCCTGGGCTTGCCCAAGTGTTTCCTTGTTCCTCTGGGACCCCCGCTTTCCCTTCTCCATCACAATCAGTGCTTCCTCTTCTTTGCATTGTCCATTCCACGGGGCCATCACCTCCGTCACCCTCCAGTATATGCCTCTGAGAACGAGACACACGGGTTGAATGAAACCTGTGCTTCATTTTGCCAAGAACATGATCTTCTTTCCAGCTCCTTTTGAGGGTTAGGCCTTGAGGAGAGTGTCCTCTAGGGGCAGCTGGGACACACTGCCTGCCCTAACCCAGTGTAGCTGGGAGGGAACTCAGCCTACTTCTCTCCTCCCTCTCAGATCTCCTCCCCTGCATGCACATGCACACTTACACCCCTTCATTCACCCCTACTGAGCTGCATTCCCCTGACAACTGTGGAAATCAAACCTTGTGGCCTGCCCCGTCCTGCACCCACCCCCTGCTTCTGTGGGCAGGGCAGACCTGGCAGCATTTGGGGCTGCTCTGTGGGGACAGGGCCGGGCTGTTGAGGGGACAGACTGGGCACCCCAGCGGGAGCATGGGGGAGAGCGGCTGACTTCCCAGCAGCTTGTCCACTTGAACAGCCCTCTGCTGCAGACCCGGAGAGGAGGGCCCTGGGGCCTCAGGGATTATCAGCATCTCAGACACCCAGGGACCTCGGACCCTCCTGCAGCCTCATGCCATCACTGGGTGCCCGGCCCCTGGGCATGGACTCCGAGACACCTGCCGCTGAGTCGAGCTCCTGTGGGGGTGTGGTGTGGGTGTGGCGTGGGCTGCACCTTTGGGAAGCTCAGCTGGTTGGATCTGAGGGGTGAGGTGGGGGGCTCTGAATAGGGCCTCAGGTTGAGAAGGTGAAGCTGCTCCCAGGGGTGCAGCAATTTGTGCATCGCTAAGCACAGGCGTGTCACTGTGTCACCGGCGCACCCCAGCGCTGAGCCAATAGGACCACAGGCAGGAGATGAGCTGGGAGACCAGGTCACGGGCAAGGCCACACGGTGTAGGGCGCTGAGTCAGATTGCAGCCCAGGCGGCTCACCCCAGAGCAAGCTCTCCAAGGCTGTGGCCCCATCTGTTTTCTCTCCTCACCCTTCCCTCTCTCTCTTCCCTCAGGGTCCTGAAGGAAAACCAGGGAAGCAAGGCGAGAAGGGCCGGACTGGAGCCAAGGTGGGGTCCCTCCTCCCGCCATCACCCCTGTGCCCCCTCTCTCCCTACTCTCCCCTCCTCTGCTTCCCCTGCTCCCCTGCTCTGGGGTCTGGTGACAGCCTGTCTCTCCTCCCGTTGCAGGGTGCCAAGGGCTACCAAGGACAGCTGGGTGAGATGGGCACCCCTGGAGACCCCGGACCCCCTGGTACCCCAGGCCCTAAAGGGTCCCGGGGCAGCCTGGGACCAACGGTGAGAACTCTTTGGGTCGGGTAGTGGGAGGGAGGCCCAGAGCAGAGGGGCAGGAAAGGAGGCACTTCCGTGCTGGGGTGTCCCCCAGCTGTGGCCGAACACTGGATATCTGTTGTCCCTGCCCCTTTTGAATCATGGATTCCTTGGGGGAACTGCAGAAGTCACTGCCCCCTCCCCGGAAAAGTCCACCCAGTGTTTCTTACATGTGAAGGGGTCTGTGGGTCTTTAACACCCTCT